GGGGGGGGGGGGAAGTGAAATGGAGTGAGAATAAGATAGCTTAACTCTTGAACTGCTGAGGTCCCTGCGGAGTGCTTGTCTGTTAACCAAGCATAATTTCTCCCTTCTTGTTCTACTGACATGGTAAATATGTTTTTTTGCATTGGCCTTTCTTGATCTTAAAATCACCTTGATTAACTAGGATAATACTTTACAGTCTCTTGGTTAACAAAAATTACAACCCTCACATTGCACTTGGAATGGGAATTGGCATTTGGGGAATGCCTGTTTTCAAGAGGGAGATGAGCATCTAAGAGACGACCTAGTGAAAATCCATGACACAATAACACCAGCAACTGGTTCACTGACAGAAGATTATGAAACACATACCAACATGGATTGAATGGGTACATTGCAGTTAACTAACCTTGCCAACCTCATACTCTCTCAATAAGTATTTTATCCTTTTAAACCTGTTTGCAGTACCAAGATTCTTCTTACATCTTGGCATACATTCCTATGAATGACAGCTCTGAGAATCTAGTGGTTAATCCAACATCTAGGACCTGTCACCTGTGCTTATTGTCTCTAACTGTTTTTCCTTAGATGAGTATTTTCCTTTTTGAGAATTATATCATTCCTGGACTTCAGAACCTCACTTATTTTATATTCAGTAAGTATACCTTTATTTTTCCTTCTATTTTCTAAGTCTTTGCTTTATGTAGGGTTGTTTTGACGCCAACTCCATAGACAATGCATTTGGTAACACAAGACTGTTGATTGTATGTAATTATGAGCATGTAATAGTGGAAAAAAATATGGAATACTGCAATGATTTGTTTTAGTGCCCTCTTTTTTTTTTTTTCAAGAAAGTCTCCCTCTCAAATAAAAGGTCCTAACAATTGAGGGAGTTTATGTTATGAGTGCCTTTATAGCCGTAGATGCACCTTATTCTGATAAACACTGCAAAATATTCTTTCTTCAACTAGTATATTTATTAGAGACAATTGCAGTGTAGCCAATAAATTATTGATAGTTTGTAGTTTGGAAACTTGGCAAATGCTATTTTGGCAATTATTTTAGTCTCTGTGTACACGTTTACTTCCAATTAATTATTTGAAGTATTCAGGTGACCATTAATTGTACAAGTCAGTCTCCAGTCAATTACTACTTGTTTGAACTAGGCAATAGTATGAGGTTATCATTTGAATTACACGGTATCATTATTACCAAATGGGCATTGTTGATACTCATTTTCAGCAAGGTTTTCAAAAACTTTATCCTGGATTATTGCAGACATAATGCAGTTTTGGATTTATTGCAAAGCATTATTGTAGGGGTAAGTCAGTGCTTGACAAAACGTCTTGTGACAATTTTTATTTCACAATGTGCTATTTTATTCCTAGATGTGCTTAGTAGAGGCAATCCTCAGCAGAGTCTTTGGTTATGGAGATGGATGGGACCTTTCTTATCATATTTGTTCAGTGCTTTTTGGGTGTTGCCTCTTTACTGGCTGAGCAAACCACTCAACTCATTATGGTATCAGGTAAATGTCATGTGAAATCTGTATGTCACATGTTTGAGTGAGAAGTATAGGCTATAAGTAGGACTTGACAGGCTCTTTAACCAGTTTGATCATGTGAGGAGTGAAGGCCAGTTTGGGTACAGACTCTGGTTTGAGGGATCTCCCAGGCAGCTAGTGGTCAGTACATAACTGTTCTTGGGCACAACACTCTACTATCACAGTCTCTTTCTACACCCATGTAAGGCTCTGTTTCTTTAAGAGTATGACCCGGGGTTACTCCAATACATAAGCTATGTAGGTATGTGGTGCTGTGATGGGTATTTCTTTTTTTCTGTGATGGTTATGGTTTTCAGGCAGTTTAGTCTGGGATAGGGTATAGAAATCAGACAGTTTTGCTCTAGAATGGGCTATAATTTACCGGGAAAGTGGCTAGTGGATAAATAATTTAGCCTAGAACAGGGTTCTTTACCCGGAGTCTTAATAGAAATTGAAACTCGGAAGTGAATTTGTAAGATATTGGTTTAATTAACATATATTCGACTACAATAGTGGTAAAGTTTCTCCATATTGAAAATATAGCTAGTCTGTGATACAGTAGGAGTTATTGGTGCCTAGTCTAGAATAGGGGTGCAAAATCAAACTTATTATGGTCTAGTATAGGGTGAAGGCTTCAGTATCCCATCAGCACAACTCTACCCAAAGATTTATAAAGTACCCCTCTGAGGAGTAAGAGTACTTATATTACTGGTAAGTGCAAGTGAGCCTGATGTGAGACTCAGAGGTTTCTCAATGACTGCAGCTGAAAATGGATTGTTTTAAAATTGTTGCCTTAGTAGTGAATCACTATAAATAACATGATAAAATTTAGAGTGAAAAAAATAAATAAAATGGAAAAAACGTAAACATGTTGTTAAACGGCATTTGGAAAATAGTCATCTAATATGTTGTTTCTTATTTTTTAGGAAATTGCTGATTCTGCTTATCGTACTACAAGAGGAAGACCTCTTGGATTCTTAGCTTCCTTTGGAAGAGAAAGGTAAATATCTGTGTATTCTGACACTAATAAAATTTTATATCTCTCAAGATGGATTCTGGACCCATGGTACCAGATAACAGTTTCATTGACAATAAAGTGTCAAAATTGGGTTTACTGCTTGGGTGACCTCCTCTGAAAAGCGTCTATGAACTTGTTATGATCATCCTGCCACTAGATAGGCAATTGTAAGGTCAAGTGATTTATGTAAGGAAAAACAGTGCCAAATAAAGTTGATTGATTGATTGACAGAAAAAACTCTTTGAAAACTGATGATTATAATTAAGCTGTAATTGGTTTACAATATTATTATAATCATAGTTTCTTTTTTCATTCCTTTCTCAGTTTGTCATCACATGTTAGCAAAACAGTAGCAGACTTTTTCTTTAGCTTCTTACTTCAGATGTTCTTTCTTGTTCAGGTAAAAAAAGATTCTCTTGATCTATATGACTGTTTCTACATTTGCAACCTTGGTGTCCGTTAAGTGTTGTGGTCTGGATTTTCTTTCATTTAAAAAACTTTAGACAATTTACTGTGGCAAGATGTAAAGTTTGAGGCCTTTGGCATTTTGACTGTGAAATTTACTCCAGTTTGTGTTTGCAAAAAAGGTATCAAGAATTTAAGTTTCTGCTTGCCGGCAACTTTTGCTACACACATCTTCAATTTTTGAAACTGCTTTTAAACCAAAAGTGAAGCCTTGGAGCCGACAGGCTCATAGCTGCCGGAGCTTATCCTGGCTTCTGTAGCATGAAGTGGCTAGGAGTATTTCTACTTCCCTTGGACGGAATGCTAGTCCATTGCAGGTCACTCCCCCACAATTTGTTAGGTTTCCCCAACAATTCGCTTTTTGTTTATACTCCTGGGTGGACAGAGGCACCGTGAGAGTTAAGTGTCTTGCCCTAGAACACAACACAGTATCCCCGGCTAGGGCTCACACCCAGACCGCTCGATCTGGGGACAAGTGCACTAACCATGAGGCCACTGCACCTCTCTCGCCATTAAACCAAACAGAGCCTTGAATATTGCTGTTCATATTAATTGTCATTTGGCCGATTCATATGGCCGATCAAAGGAGGGCAAAGCTTCATATTCCTGATGTATTGATGGTTGGCAAGGGCAGAAAAGGCCTCAAATTCAAAAGGCTTTTGCATCTGATTGGCTGGGGAGACTTTGTTTTGATTGGTCGGAGTATTCCTTGACCCATGAGACTAATTCTGTGAACCAATAACTGAGTACAGCAATAAAATATGATTTAGCAAACTATGGTTGGTTAGGTACCTGCTTGCAAATTTTCCTGTTTTGTTTTTCAGGCCATGGTTGTGAGCTTTCTTCCTATCCTGGGACCTCTTATCAGTCTAGGACATATGTGTCTTCTGTATTCACTTTACACTTTTGAGTACAAATGGGTGAATATGGGTAAGCTTTACTCTGTTGTGTTGTTGTTAACCCTTTAAGTGACAGAGGCATTACTAATAAAAATAAACTCTAACCAGGTCAAATTTATATTAAAATTCTTTTCAATTCATTTAAATAAGCCCTGCTAACCTCCTTTGAGGGTAAAACTTCTATTGAATTGTCAACCAAAAACGAGGTCAGTAAGGTTAATTATAATACTTAAGAAGGGATTTTATTATTGGTAGCCATTTATGAAAAGGGTCTTTCTTTCGTATTTCTAGGATGGACCGCACCCAAGCGCCTCATGTACGTGGAATCTAACTGGCCATACTTTGTGGGTTTTGGACTTCCTCTTGCTATTTTCACCTCATTAGCACCTTCTTTTGTAATCAGGTCAGTGTGAAAATACCGTGAAGGATCATTTGAAGCAGCGGTCCAAAGTAATCCCAGTAAGCGATGGGAAAGGCAGAGTCGCGGGGGTGGGGG